TTAAGCAGATCAAACAATGGCCATTTGTAGGTGCATGGCAGCCGGGAAAAATCGCAAAAACCACTGGGTACGGGTTACTCCTTTGACGTGTTACGCCTATTCCCGGAGGAATACTAAAAGATCCAGTCAGAAATACCAAACCATCCGTACGTAACGCAGGGCTCCATGCTGAGGCGGAGTTTAAGAGCTTTTTGTTCCTTCCCTGAGGTCTCTATGGCAAGTGCTTCCGTAATACCCAAAAAGGTAAAGCCACTTTGCTACACGTAGAGATTCTTACCAGGCTCCTAGCAAAAGTTTCTCAGGGTCCCTGAAGGATGCTGGATCACAGGGGGGTCTATTCACTTTTGTTTGGTTTACTATTTTATGTCTATCTGACACAAATCCTGAATAGGACAAAAGGCGCCAAATCTCACTACCTTGGGGTCTATTCACTTTGTATGATTTTGATATCATTATCCTGATTTGTCGCTCTATGGGCCCATGCAGGTGTCTACAATCTGTATTTTTTACAAGGTGTCTTTAGTTTTCATATGTTTTCTTCAGGAGGCATAACTTAAATTTAATTCTATTCTATTCTTCAGGAGGCATAGTTTCACTATATTGCCATCCATGTAAACCAACTAATTCTTTTCTAACGACCCCAAGAATTGTTTGACCTGTTCCTTTCCCTCAGCAGCATTTTGATCGCCTTTGTTGTCTGGAATTGCTCTATCCAGCCATGAATTAGGATCCACTGTGTTATCCTTTTAGTGTCACCAGGGTTTTTTATCATCGCTTCGTAGGACCGATATTTGGCTTGTCTCCAGATCTCAGCTCTACCATTTGACCATCGGGGGCATGACATAATCATATGCTTGGGGTTGTGTGATTGGTAGCTACGTGGACAGCTTGGACTTAATACTTCGGGTACTTTTCTTCTTCGTAAATACGAGTTAAGCCCCATGTGCTCACACCGTATTTGCATCGCCAAACTGCTTTGGGCCCTTGTCAGGTTATCCACTTTCTTCGGCTTCAAATGTTATGTCAGCCAGTGTGCGCGACCCTAAGTCACGATACACAGGAGCCCAAATCTACATGCCTAAGCGAGGTAATTACTTATTTGAATTCGCTAAAGAATGTTAGATGGTGAGCTAAAGATAGCGCCAAGGCGCTAGTGGAAGGATATATGAACTGAGATTTGTCCACTGTTTCCCAAACATATCTCTTCGAGATACAACGCAAATCAACCTTCTTCTAAAGCAATTGCCGTGAGGAGCCCGGTGCTTTGGCACCGTGAGGCTTCCATGACCTTAGTAATCCGTCATAAGAATGGAGATCAAATTGGAAGATCTTGGGTGCGACGCTATTTTATCTCATAAATTTCGTTGCAGTGATCAGCCGAACACAAAAAACGGGGAATTCCTTTGTTACTGGGAATAAAAGTGCTGTACCCAAATCCGACCGCACCCCATCGACAATAGCAACGTTGTCATAGGTGTAAGTGAACTTGTAAGTGTATCCATGATTCAATAAGCCCGTAAAGTTCAACATCTCTAAGTATATTTTCTCGACTAAATTGTCCAAACGATCACTGCCACTGATTCAAAAGAAAACATGTTTGAATGAAAACTTTTTCCTAACTCAGATAAGGAACTTATTTCACCAATTTGATTTTATTTTTATAATATTTAACTTCGAGTCTACGCACAGTACCTGAGCCCCTCGCGTACCGGTCTGCCCAGGCTAAATTAAACTAGCCAACGTGAACCAACTTGAATAGTTATCGGTATCTTGGTCCAGTATATGGCTTAACATGGATTGGATGTGGCAGTGGTACATCTTTCGGGCCATTCTACCAAGTAGATACTTGGTAGCTTGAACACCTACCCCATATGAGACAGGAGAAAGCTGCTTCCTATTCAGTAAAATCCACACAACTCTTTTACTCACTCCACAGACGCCGCTGAAGCGTCAATACTATTTGTATCCAGTTTTGTGCCAAAGCCATAAACTAAGCCTCAGGCCCACAGGAGCAAGTGCTCCGACAGGAAGGGAAGCATAACTCCATTATTTGAAAACTCCCAATTTATTTCAATATACAGAGGTGTTGATCAGCCTTAACTCAAGTATAAGTAAGGTTAGTTCAATGCAAAGCGAAAGGTTCAAAAGTGAGGTATGCGTTATGTCTTCTTTCTATCTAATAATATTACGAACGTGTAGCTCCTACTGTCTATGAGAACACAAGTTTAAGTGATTATTAAAAATAATTCAATGTAGCTAGACTCTATCATATAGATTCTAGAAGTCCTCTATAGTCATAGGCTCAGATAGGACTATAAAATAAATCTAATCTGGTTGCGAACGTGTGGTTCATGGTATTGGCTGAGTCATCAAGACATTGACTTCGCAACTGGGAGATCCACCACGCTTAGTACAAAGTAAACTGAACTACTTTCCGACAAATGGACATATATCAGGCACACAAATAATGGTAAATGGAGAGGAATACGTGTACTCTGGTCTAAAATATTCGGATAAGTTTTTTGGAATATTTAATTTTACTTGTAATTGAATCATGCTTTGTGTTTGCTGTGTTCATAAAGTTAAATTGTCAGGAAAACATAATTTTTGCCAGAAAGCTGTGCAGCCTTCCATGATGCCCGTATATTCAATTTGTCATCGTAATCATCATTATTTCACCTTCATTACCCTCCTTCCATCTTTTCGCTTTCCGTTCTCCAACTTGGCGAGTTTGAGTGCTGGTGTGGGTAAATCCAGCAGTTTCGACGCGTCGCAAAATGCGACAATGGCCTCATCAAACAACGGCAGCGGAGCCCAGACAGCTCCAAAGGATAGAAACCTCGAAATCCTGGGGAAACTACTAAAACAGGTTAGACTAATCGTGATGGGAGAGATGGATGAGGAGTTACCCTCAATGGAGGACGTGAACGAGGCCGTGAAGGCCTTCAACGCGCACAAAAGGGCCTGGACGGAGATGTCCCAAAACACGTCTCTGATCGAGGTGAGGATGATGGCTTTAGAGGAAGTCGTAAAGAAAGCCTTGCGGATCCCGCTCGGAAAGCTGCTCCAGCAATGGTTTCGGGCGCGACGACAGCAAGGAGTTACGCGTCGGTCGTAGCTCCCCAAATGACAAAAACAGTGGTACGAATAAGAATCGACGGCGCTCAAAACTTGCAGCCACAAGAGCTGCTTTCAAAGGCAAAAGAGCACATTCAAGGCGTATACGCAATTCTTCAAATGCGGAGCAACGATACCGAGGTATTCGTCTAGTCGGCGTCCTAGAGATGCGGCGCTAAATATGCGACAACCAATGGAATTCTAAATTCTGCGGCAAGATTTTCCAGTCGAGGTCAACGATGTCCCACTGCGGACACGAATTGAAGAGGATAGAGATACCAACAATTTTGCCATCATCAGGGAGATAGAGACGGCTACGAAGGTACGGATTCCAGGCTTAGTCATTAGTCGTATAAGGTGGTTACACGACGGAAAGGGTTTCTTGTGCGAACTGCGGCAAGGAGCACCGTTCGTGGCAGAAAGCAGCGTGTCGGACTTACCAAGTCTACAAGGGAAGTGTGGAGAAGGCTCGGATGGAGCTGTTGTCAAGAACGGCGGAAATATGGAACGAAAAACCTACTGTGGAGCCAACACAAACAGTCAGACCAACTGATGATCAGGGATTTACTTTGGTCACCAGTAAAAAGGCTGAAGGACTCAAAAGAGGACCGGGACGACCACTCAAGGTAGTCGGAGCCCCAGTAGCACTAACCATCCCGACGACAGCAGCACCATTGGGGCCAACTCTTCGAACACTTTGACGACCAACGCCGAGTGAGGAGGCGCCTTCTCTTTTCAAATTTTCATAACGTTAGTCTGATCGAAGGGGGAGTTAACGAATTCTGGGGAAAGTTTATAAAATTGTGGTTGAAAGCAACGTCCTCAGTATTAAGCCGGGTCGGTTCAGAGTGGCAGGACATCGGGTTTTGTTTGTTGAAAGCTTTTTCCCTTACCAAAGTGGCATACCGTCTACATGGATCTGTATATGGATACCGCATAGGGCAATAAACTAGAACAATGAAAGTTAAATTTTCATAGCTAAATAGCCGAATTAAATATGGATTGTGAGATGATGCATATTTAAGTAATTTAAATTTTATTTTCATATTTAAGTATTGTTAGCCCTTATCATGCGGTCATGTGATATATGAGGACTGGGAGTTATGCAGACATTGAAGGTTATGCGTGCGTACAGATACATAGGAGGGGCGGTCTTTCTGGTTGAACCTAGGTAGAAAGCCTTAGTGATCTAGTTACAATACGAGATTGAGCCAATAACGTTTTCATGAATTAAAAATTTGCACTCGCCGGTTCTACTAGTCCTACACCCTAGGTGGACTCATAGCTTTAGCTTGAGACCTAAACTATTTAAAAAAAACGTGACACCATGTCGCTAAATGAGATTTACCTCAATTCCAGCATGGTCCGCATAAGAATCGCTGATGTCGGAGTACCTTCGGAGTAGAAGGGCACTAAATATATCGCTCGTGTTATCCCACACGCACGCATATACATATTGTCCTTTGCTTAATTGTTTCACAAGGTGAACGAACATGGCGTAGGGAGTATCTAACAATCTGTAATTAGTCTTCAACTTTCATTCTCTCATCCACGACCTCCTTCATTTAATGGTCCGGATTTAGAAACGATAAATCCTTCAAAAAATCTCATCCCTAATTATTTTGCTTGATCACTCGCAGACAAATTCTCAAAGGCGACTTGGGGCTCAAAACTTCTGCTCGACGCACCATCCCGAAATGCCTATGACGAAGACTGATAGCAATCAAATTTCCCCAGCCACTCATTTGATCCTAAATTCCGACCCAGCACGTTAATGAATAAACTAAACCGAATCCCAAGTCCTGACCAAGTTCTTCATCAATACAGGCTTTGCCTATACTGATATTTTGCACAATATAATATCACCTACTACACGTCTTGTCATGTCTATATCATCGAACAATGACCGGATCAGCCACAAACTCCCTTCCTCGAAATTTCCTTCGAGCCCTCCAAGTCCACGAGCCAGTCGTACCCTACGACGCCTTAAATCTGCTTATACACTCGGTCCGTCAGGTCATCAACAATCAGCACTAACGTCGCATCATCATGGTCGACATATTCCGCCAACGCCTTCTACGGTAAACCATCCACAACCTGCTCGCGGGAGGTCAAATAGTGATGCAACAAATATGCCACCGACAACTCCCACTGCTCCCATCCGACATTCAGCAGTTAAAAGACTTGTTCCGGCTGATACGCTCTCCTTAGATCGCTTAGTCCGGGACGGGCCACCCGATGGTGATATATCTGGCGCACTAGAGAGTGTTAGGCTTAAAATTCTAGATCAGGGTATTAAAAGTGATGTGGATGGCATGGTATGGATGATATCCCTATTAATTTGGTAATATTGCTAACTCAATGTAGTCAGCATGCCGTATCTACATCTGGATGATTCTTTTCAATATCCCCGTCTTAGAAACTGATTCATATCTTGCTCTTGTCCATCGTGGTGCCTCTCCTGCTTACTCTAAGATTCGAAATGATACCTTCCGGACACTAGCCACGGATCCCCTCTTTCGCAGACGCGTGAGTGAAGCCAGTCTTATTCGACTACTTAATGCCGTTTCCTGGAAATTACATGATGCCCGAGATGCAATTTCCACAGGAAACAAGTCAAATGGTTCAGATCGAGATTCGGATTCTATCTCGCCACCAACCAGAAAATCTCGAATGCGAGCCTTAACTTTTACTACACAGGGCTCTGATACAGGTATATTAGAGCCCGGGACATATGTACAGGGAATGAATGTTCTGGCAGCTCCATTTCTTTATGCTGCGCGTAGCGAGGCCGAAGCCTTTGTTGTATTCCACCGCTTCATAACCACCGAATGTCCAGGTTATGTACGTGGTGCGATGGATGGTGTCCATAAAGGTCTAGCACTAGTTGATCAAGTCCTGGCTATCGTTGATCCCAAACTTAGTCTATACTTAACGAGCAAAGGCATGACTGCTGAGCTCTATGCGTTTCCATCAGTGCTTACTCTTTGCGCTTGTACGCCTCCTCTACCCGAAGTGTTACGCCTCTGGGATTTTCTATTTGCATATGGAGCGCATCTAAATATACTGTGCATTGTCGCGCAGATTGTCATTCTCCGGAACTCAATTATCAATTCTCCTAGGTGAGCCTTATTCGACCAAAATTTCCAAAAATTAAATTGGTGACTCACTTCTTACTGTATTAGCCCCACAAAAACCTTACGCTCTCTATCACCTCTCCAAGCCGAAACAGTCAAAGAAGTAACGTTAAATCTCATCCGAAAGATTCCACGCGAAATATACGCTCAGATAGTTGAGCACGCGAAATGAAATGACCGTCATCTGAAATCCTACTCTGCTATTGCTATTTTATGGTCCATCAGAATTTGCAACCTCGAATATGAAGCAACTGGTGAATTCTTGCGACGATTATGGCGAACAAAAGGCGCTGATATCTATTCACACGAAAATGAATAATTTATGCTAATGATCCCACTATGAGCAGGATATTTCTTAACATATCAACATCTAACAAATAACAAATAACAAATAACTACAATGACTAACGCTCTTTTTCTGTTTCTAAATTCCACAAGTATGAAGATATGATGAATTGTCTGGAAGCCCCATTTCTCTCAGTATTTTTTTTAGTTAATGAAAGTAGTGGTAGAAAGAGTAAATAAACAAATTTTTCAAATCAATAGTATTAATCCTATATGTCGAGAAAGACCTAAATTCCTAAAGAAATTTACGTGTATTGTGAGCACGGTAGATTTATGGATCTGAAAGCTCGAATACAACATTACGCTGTTCAGTGTGAGCGAGCTCTCCCAAAAAATATAAACCACACACTTACAACAAATCGCAACCAATCAAGTAACTAGCATCGATAATAATTACACCCAAGCCAGACACCCATTATTTTAAAGGAAATCATTTTCAATTCTGGATACTCCAAGAGTTATCATTAATCTATTGAACAAAATACTACCCTGTTTGGTCAAAAGTAATTACACAAATTCAGTATGATTTATTCGGTAAGAAAGATAATAGATTTGATTTTGGTTTCATTTAACCCGATTTGAAGCCCTGTGGGCCCATGTAGGCGGCTGTGAACCTATCTATATATTTAAATGAGGAAAAATTGTGGTAAAAACCCCCTCCCCCTATTAACTTTTATATGTCTGTAGTCCTTCGTTACCTACAGAAAGTGCAATTGGCCTTGAGTCCGAGATAGGAATAGCTAAAATTGTAGTGAACCTCGCCATCCTCTCCATGCCCTCGCGTGCTGAAAAGTGATGACTGGGGTCTTGAATTCGACCCCGATGGTGCAAATTGTTCTGGTGTTGTGGCTGGAACCTGGACTTGTTTACGCGGGCGTCCAGGACCTCTCTTTAAATCCTCTGGCCTTTGGTTGGACACAATTGTGAACCCTTGGTCGTCTATTTGCTTTGCCGCTGTTGTTAGTGCAGTTGCCGTGGATGCTTCGCTTTCCCTTCTTAATTCCACCGTTTTCTCCATAAGTCTATACTGTGCCCGCTGGACGCTGGTCTTGTATGCCGCGAAGCTTGGACACGTCCCTTTCTGTCACGATAAGTGGGCCTTGCCACAGCTGCAGCATTGCACCGAGTTCTTCGGGCAGTCTCTGGTCTGATGGGTGCCCGTACACCCTCCACATCTCCTTGCCACAGTTGTAGGAAGCTTGGGTGTGCCCCCATTGACTGCAGTTGAAGCACTGCTTGACTTGTGCACGGAGTGACCAGAGCTGGGCCGTGTATAGTATTGAGTCCATTACAATACCATTTCGAATCACTTCGCTTCGTAGAGCCTCTATCGGTAGGCTTGCGATCACTGACCCTCGATTATGGCCGTTCTTTTCCATCCATTGGTGCTCTTTGCCGTCGTAGAGCCACCTCACCCAGCTGATTTGGATTCCAGGAATCCAAGATTTTGTCTCCGTTGTCATTTTAAAAATTAATCCCGCTATTGTTGGCGTTCTTTGCTCCGTGTAGTATTGTCCCCAATGGGAACCCTAAAATTTCACCAGGATAATCCTGCTTTAGGATGCAGAACTCCTTAGGCTGCGCCATCCTCAGGGCAGCATATCTTTGGGAGACCAGCTGCACGAACACCTCAGTATCGTTGCTCCGTAGTTGCCTTACGGCGTATGCTCCATCTATGTATTATCTTGCCTTATTAAGCAGCTCTGCCGGCTGCATCTTGTCTGCTCCATCAACTCTTATCCGTACTGCCGCTTTGGTGGCTGGCGGTGGGACGATTGATGCGTAAGTAGGTCGTCCTCCCATTGTTTGTGCCGACTGAGGAGCCGCTTTGCGCGCCGGCTCCTCGAGACTCTTCTTTATTGCCTTCTCTAAGGCTAACATCCTTTCCTCCATGGGCTTTGCCGACATCTTAGATTGTAACACCTAAGTGTGGGCTTTGAATGCGTCAAGATCCTCATCTATTTCCACCATCGGTGCCGCAGATATGTAAGTACCTGAACTCACCAGTCTGCCTCGGACCTTACTTAGATATGTTCCCACTGTCTTTAAAAAATCCATATTGACGCCTGTAGATGTCGCGAGAAGATCTACAGCCGTCGTAACGGCCGTTCCGCTGCCCATTATTGGTTTTGGTGGTGCCGTGAAAATATTTTCAGCCGCGAAATCCACCTTTCTGACTCTCCAACTCGCCATGCCGAAGCGCAACGAAAAAAATTCGGGGAATCAGGTAAGAGAGATTGATGAATAAGAATGCAATGATTAAAACGATAAAATAACGTTCGTGGAACGTGATTTCGCTTTTCGTGAAAAAAAAAGAAAAGTGGATGATAGATTTATTAATTACCTTTTTTTCATTTTTCAGTCCAAGGCTATGTAGGGCATGCAAGTCTCTTCTTTATCTGAAAATAGGAGGGTTCAGGCCTAAGTGTCGTAATAAAACTATAATAAGAGTTATTTTGCAATGCAACCTAGTGCAACGTCGTTTTGTAATTGAAGGTAGTGTGGGATTTCGTGGATTCTCTGAAAACTGATGATTCCTTCGTCAGAGCGTGCCTCGAAATTAGCCTTGCAGATACTACAATTAGCGCAGGAAGTTTGCTAGTATTGTATGATTGCTTGAGAGCACCAAAAGACCAAAAATAGCTTCCGTGACAGCGCGATGTCGTGCTAAGACCAAATGTACCTGGACAGCGTGAAGTACAGAGACAGATTACCCCAGGCTTTCCAAGGCGCCCTTTTCCAGCACTGCCCAGAGAAAGTAAGTCAAGCAAAAGCGTGCAGCCAGAGAGACTACCTCAAATGCCTTCGACTGTAGCCAAAATCCTCCCAGAATAACCCTCCGGCCGTGGCGATTCGATGGGGTTGCGGGGGACTGTTCTCAACACCTGTCAGCGGTGTCCCCTACGAACCTCCAGCTCTCACTGTAGAGTCTACAGAGCCGAGATTGAGTAACAAAGTCCTCACTTCGACGAGGATTCCCAATCGCTTTCGCGGTCTGTATCGCCTTCATCTCTCAACACATTCCCCTATCACCACTATCATGAAGCTAACCACGATCAGATCAGATGGTAAGGTTGGAGCCCTATTCGTCACCAACCCTTGATCATGGAGGAAAAGCCATCCAATGAGTTTCCGGAGAGTACCCAGCACCCGATACGGAGATGGCGGATTGGATCAAGTCGACCTCGACTGTTACTAAGATGGGAGATATAGATGAATATGCGCACCTCATGTGGTCCCGGTGTCTAGGCCTCGCTTGGCTGGGGCTGCAGGTGTTTTGAGACTTTTTCCCGCGTACGCAGTTTCCATTGCTACCATTTTTTTTTTTTTGGGTAGAAGGTTCCGTGGAAAAGGTGGCTGAATTCCACGGGTAAATACTGAACTGAATGACGATTCATCACGGGCAATATATCAATGATCTTCCAAGAAACATGAGAGGCAAAGAGCACTGTGCAAGGTGTGGCTTGGGTCAGAAAGGAGCCCAATGTGCTAGATAGTCTAAGACTCAGGTAGTAAAATAAACATACCTCTCTACTGCTGGGACGAAGAATTATTCTCGGATTGTTAAAATCGAGAAGTTTATAATCTTACACGGCTTGGCCAAATTAACATCATTATTCACTGGGAACTAATAATAGCTGTTCGGCTACTCCACTGAACAGACAAGGTACTCCCGCCTTAGCCATTGCTAAGAGTTATCCCGGAGATTAGCAGTGTGATCTACTGTCAGCCTTGGTTGAGGTTTGGTTTGGTTTATTATTTTACGTCCATCTAATATAAATCCCAAGTAGGACATAAGACGCCAAAGCTTACTGCCCTGGATACCTGAGGCCTTTGACTGTCCAAACCTGAATTGCCAAAGCCTTTAGTTTTTCTGGGCAAAGGGTTATAGAAGGGTTATCCTGCTCCATAACATGAAATGAATTTGCGATAAAGTTTCTTGGGCATGAAAATACTGGGACAGCTTACTATCTATATATTTCAGTTGAGTCATAGGGCCAGAGTGTAACATCCTTCTGTGCAAATTTCTAGTCAGCATAACCTTGGTTGAGGCTCAAAATGGGAGCGCCAGGGCAGGTGTAATATAGCGTAAAGATCAGCTGACTATCAAGATCGACCTCAGGAGACTAATATTCCATATCAACAACCTTCGCGACTTTCATTACACTATCTTTACCTACTCGCAAAAATAAGGTCAAGCTTCTATACCTCCGAAGTGCTTCGGCGAGGCCTGTAAATTGACTGATTAACTGGAGCTTGCAACACTGGTAGTCATGGTCAGCTTTTCGCCCATTTGGTCCATAGCATTTGGACTGGTTTTACTCTCTACAGTAAATGCTAGAGCCGAAGCGTCGCCTCAAGTTTCGCCCGCCCTGCAGAAAATTCTAGACCAGGCATATGAGGGGCCACTCTACACCTATCCTACTAGTCTAACCCAGGGAATCTTACCCGTAGGCATCTTTGTTCCATCCCATGGCCTGCGACTAAGCTTACGTTCTCAGTAGAAAGCTATACATTCTCACAACGATTGTCAGTATAAACACGGATCCCTAATATAAGAGATTATAGGTCTTTCCGTTAACTTGGAGATAGATTGGCGACCGCTTCCTTTCTATACAGCTCTCAGTGTCGGCGCGGTCTCAGTGGAAGCCGACGTGTGGCTTTTCAACGATACACTTTATGTCGGTCATGAACCGCTCGCTCTAACGAGCGCCCGCACTTTTGAGAGTCTATATATCAAGCCTATCTTGGATACCCTTAACCGACAGAACCCGGATGCTTCACCATTCGTTCCGCTCGAAACCTATAACGGCGTGTTTGACATGGACGGCGGGCAGACCCTTTATCTCTGGGTCGATGTGAAGACTGATGGCGCAAAAACCTGGCCAGCTGTTGTGAAGGCACTAGAACCACTGTGAGTTACTACATTCGCTTGGAGTTTTGTACCTGTAACCTTGAGCTTCCACGGCAACTTTGATGAGGGCAAATGGATGAGTCTAGGACTTGTCTGAATTCTACCTGTGTGCACATAGCTATGGCTTGAGTACTATACTTCATATCACCGCCTCTCCTATGGTTCGTGCCTAATCTATGGGGTTAGTTGGGCTAATATTTGAATAATATAGACGCTCGCGTGGCTATCTAGCATCCTCAGATGACAAGACCTTCAGATATGGTCCTGTAACTGTCATTGGAACCGGCAACACGCCGCTAGACTTGGTAAAATCGGCCAACCCGCGTAATTACTTTTTCGATGCACCCATCTCGGCTTTGGACAACAGCCTTTCAGACCTTACCTACCACGTCTCGCCTGTCGCTTCGGCGGCCTTTTCGACCACCTTTGGTGGCGTATCGGGCTCCGGACTCAACGAAGGACAGCTTGCCTTGCTCCGCAAGCATATCAGTGTGGCCCATCCTCGAGGGATACGGCTTCGCTATTGGGATCAGCCCGGATGGCCTTATAGCACACGAAATCAGATTTGGCGGCAATTGAAGGGGGAGGGCGTAGACTTTATCAACGCAGATGATGTTGAGGCCGCTGCTGGTCTAGGAAACATGTGGTGAAGGCGCCGTGTCAATCGCTGACGGCGACTTGTAGTTATAGATTCAATGCCCCGTTTCATATTCTAGGCATCCTATTGGCCTGCTCATCAGATCGGTATGGCTCAACGGTGCGCTTGGTATCGTCGGTACCATTTGTCTTTTTCATCCCATTTAGATTGCAAAATGTAAATTGCTTACCACGAACGTACATGAATGCGTGCCCCACAAATGCACCCTATTATGGGTAGCCTAGTTCCCTGAGGACTTACCCCACTCTCTGTGCGTGCCCTGACTCTATTATAGTTGCCGGACCCACGTTTGATCAGATAGCGGAGGTCGCCCTAGCGCTAGCTGAACGGCAACAACAGCTAGTTTACCGCCCTACAGAGAGAACCTGACGTGTGAGAATTGAGGGTTGGCAACATAGATATTCAACGGGCACGGCAAAGCGCAAATAGAGGCAACGAATCCCTGTCTTTGGCGGGAACGATGGTAGGGAGAGAGAGATACTTTGTGCCATTGTCAACTAAAATGCATCTTCGTTGGGACAGTCTATACTTTCATGACCCTCCCGCTCACACAATCCGCACCATTTATCCAAATTTATTATCCCGCTATCCTTCCCAGCGACGGGCGAGGCCGCCAACGAGCCGCTTGGTGGCAGGCACATGGAGGAATTTTTTCGTGGCGATAAGGGTGCTGGCTTGTAATCATCTGGGGCTATAGAATCTTTCCATGCTCGCAAGCGATTGCCCCCTTGGTTTCCTTTCAGAGTAAACATTTTGGTACAGGTCAGAATATCGTGCCCAGCAGTTTCACAAATCTCACAGAAATTCTCGTTTGCAGTGGCAAAGGCGTCGCCATCAGATATCGCGGTAGGTATCTTTAACTGTCTAGCGCTTCTAATTTTCGCGCGCGATTCCTGATTGTGCCGACTACCAGCCTTTTCAGTGACGTTTGGGTTAGCTAAATTTTCTCCAACAATTATCGCCGTACTTTTTGTGCTAGTATTTGTGTCCTGTTGGCTGGAAATCTCACTCTCATGCTGTTTCTGTGTGAAGAATTCCGTCTCGATATAGGTGTTATATTCTTCGAGTTTTTCTCCCAATATGTTCGTCTCTGTCCTAGAATCAGATGGGAGACTGCTGGAACTATCTGTACGTTTATGCAGTGTTGGGTTCGTGGCGAGATCATCATTTGTGTCGGACACTGCGTCCCGGCTAAGGGAATGGATTATAGCTTTTAGGCCTCGGATCTCGTCATCCTGGCGTTGTAGCTCTTTAGCCCACATCGCGACATCAATATCATCGGCTCCTTGAGACTCCCCCCTTGAACCTTTCTCTCGCTCCCTCTTCAACTCAGACTTGGTCCGCTCAACTTCCCCTCGCAAAAATTCTACTTCCCCCCGAGCCTCTGCTTCTCCACGTCTGGCATCTTCTAGACCCTCCTCAAGCTCTTGGACTAGTTCTTCAAGCTGTCTTAGTTGCCTCGCGACGCTGCCAACGTCTTCCGTCCGTACGGCGAGTTCCCTATTTTCCAACAACAAGTCGTCAATTCTTTGCTCATAGACGCGCTCCGTTTCCGCGCTCGCAGATTCCAAAGTATCAATGGTACTTCGAAAGTCGGCTCGATGTGCATCGAATTCTGCCGTAAGCGACGAGATTTTCCCATTCTTTTCTTGAAGCATCATCCGAAGCTGAGAGATATCTTTATCTTCGACCTTATCCTGGTTGGATTTATTATAGGTGACTAGGTTTGTTGATAGCTCTGCCTGTAGTAAAGCATTCTCTAATTCGGCCAGAGTGATAGCTTGTTCCTGTAGCCTTCTATCACGATCTTCGAGCTGCGCGCGTAAGTGATCAGCATCGTCGTGGTAGCGATCAACTCGAGAGTTGGCACGAGAATTTGAGCGGGAGGCTGCGCGTACTTTTGGAGTAAAGGGAGGGAGTGAGCCGAGACTTGTATGATGCGCTGTTTTTACCTTTGACACAGACGATTCCTCACCTCCGCTTTCGTTCCGCATACCTTGTTCCATAGCCGAAGTACTCCGTGCAGCCAGTCTACCTTTCCGAACAGGTTGTGGAGTGAGTCCTATTTTCCTCACGACCTCGCGGGAATCTTGGGTGCCACGGACACTTTGGCCAAATTTCCGCGGAGCGGGAGTAGTATTTTTGGCAGGTGACTTCATGGGTGACTTTGAGGGTGATTTAACTGCTAGCCTTCCGCTTGATGATCCGAATGAAGATCTCACGGAGTTTTGAGGTTTTCGTAGGGGCGACTCCGGCCGTGGGAGGGAGGGGCGACCGATCTTTTTTCCCTGCGGACTTTGTGTCCCAACATTTCCCCTAGACTGAGCGATTTTGTGAAGACCTGGTGTCGGCGGTGTATGTCCAGTCGAAGTATGGCCTGTTATTTTCATACCTCCACTTATTGACGGTGTGGTCGGAGTAGGCGGTGGACATTCGTTACGGGATACAGAAAATGATGTACGTCGATGTGCTCTGTTAACGGGTAGAAATATACCTGCTCCAGGAACCGATGTGGTGAAATAACTGATCCTGGAGATGATGACTGGTTAGTAGTGTACAGTTAACAGTTGACGCGTTTTTGAAAATAGCTTTCTTACCCGTCTACATCGCCACTATTCTTGCCTCGCGACGCAAACTCTTTGCTTAATTCTACTCCGGCGAAGATACCTTTTTTCTGGTCGACTGATCCGATAAACTTGACAATTCCGTGCATCCTGCCGGGAACCTCGACTACGTCTCCTAGGTTTAGGTCGCCATCATGGGGCGGTGATGGCGGCATGGCACAGAGTGAGGGTGATGTGTTGATACCGGTTGATTTGGAGGTGAGTTGTCTAGTTGCATCGGATACAGTGAGAGTCGAACGAGTCATGGGAGCGCTAGAGGAGGCCTTACGAAGAGAAGCTTTAGCGAGACTAGGTGCTGATGAGGAGGCCTTTCTGTAGATGGCGTTGAGATTGGGAGCAGAAGCTTTGGTGGAATGCGGTGGACGTAGTGATGCGACCGAACGGCTTAGAACCATCGATTCGGACGACATCAACATTATGAAGGGGGATAGAATCGCTTGAGTGGTTTGTTTTTCTTAGCGGGCCGTTAGTTCTGCGAGCGCGGTCTTAAAATGCATGAGTACGCTTTGAAAGCTGCGCGCGAGAAAATATCCAGGATTAAAAGGACAGCGACAAAAAGAAAGTGACTGGAATAAAAGTACCTTGAGACAGCAAGCAATGGCCTTAAGCAGTGGTATAGAGTAGATAGAAAGCAGGCAAGGTTAAGATAGTGAGACCGAAACACGCACGCTGCCCGAGGGCCACAGCATCAGCATCACCGGCACAAGTAACTGCACTGGTTAGGAAGTTGGGAATAAGCAGTGGCTAAAACATGATGATCATGACATGCCGACTGAAGATGCAGGGAGAAAATGGGTCGATGTAGAATTTTTAAAAGGCTAATTTTTTTTCCCTCAATGTGGAATCTAGGACGTTTGGGACAAGTTACTGTAGGCAAAAATTGAATTGAAATTGTCAGGAACGGTTGTAAAACTCCGATGAAAGGCTCACTACGAGAGAATTCCAAAAGATTACATATAAGTTAAGCCCGGGTGGCTAAGCTTCGAGGCCTGTATGGCGGTGCCCATCACAGTTGAGTTCCAGTTCTAGTCCTAGCCTCGAGCTCACTGGACTGAGATGTAGCATACACTGGTAGGCAGCCATCGCCATACTGGCCCGTGGTGCACCCCCTTGAGTGTACAGCTGTGGCCTAACTAGTGCATAGCTGAGTCAAAACAAGCAAGCAAGCAGTCGGTACTAGCTACGGGAGAGACTCTGTAGGTAGCGGAGGCTTCTACTTCAATCCAGAATTCTATCAGGTGATAACTTATCTGTCATTCTAGCAAGGACCGTGTCATGCACTAGCGACGAAGCCTCTAACACGTACGATCAAGGTTCTTTTAAACCTTGTGCATTGGTTTTCCCAATCCGGCTCGGGAACCGGCAGGCTTAAGTGTGGCGGTGACAACCAGGTTCATCCATCCTTAAATTGACCGGCATTTGTTAATCGAGGGCCAAATTTTAGTTCCATATCTACCGCATGCGACAGTAGACAGTGTCGTTTTCGTATCTAGACTATCAACTTCAGGCATCAACCTTAGATGGCTCGAATTCGTGGACCATCAGTGAAAGGAGTGGGGATGAACCTCCGTCTGCAGTGGGCGCCACAATACATTGATGTTCATCATGATATCATGTTGCCCGGCCGGCGGGCTGTTAAAAACGGTAGTAGCAAGTTCACAAGGGCTTTAAACAGTTAAATCTGGGATAGTCGGTGCCTCACTGGCAAGGGAGCTGTGTTTATAGAGATGTTATGGATAGGGTTGAGCATATAGTACGGGAGGGCTGAGGTTCACATCACTACACCTTGTAATCACTGGCAACTTAGAAGCCGTGTTTATTTGATGCATGAATAAAGGTATGTGAAGGTATCATAGACGGATGGGGTCTGAGAGCTCATCTGGCATGGCAACTCTACTGGAGACGTGAGTTCCCCCGGATTTTGGATGGAAGAGGCTCACTCGTCATACATGATTGTTCGCCCATGACGGAAATTGTGGAAACCAGCTTGGACTATTTACCTTCAAATGTTAAATTTAATACGTTATCGCTGCATTCCAGATAAGAGCCCGGTAAAGGGCCCTCGTAAGTCAATTTGGGACAGCCGTTGTCCCGGCAATCGCCAGTGCTAGTGGGTCTCACATCCTCTGCCGGAGATTAGGGAATTTATTGATCGGATGTGCATATCGTCAATCTCAAATCATCGACTCAGTCCAGAACAGGTCTGACTTGAGCAGAATGATATCGCACTCTTAGGACGTGATGGCCCTGCGCCAAACGGTAATCAAGCACGCGCCATGACAAATGGCTATTCATCAGCTTAGATTCTTCCTTCAAACCATGGACATATTCAGTCAAGTATCCTTTGGAAGCCGAGTTTGTATCTATCGACATTTCTCTCATGTGCGTAGAATCTCATCAACTGCAATTGATCGATCAGACCCCTAGCCGTGATCTCATGTCCTCATTTCTATTCGTATGGCTCTATTGCATCTATGATGGGCAATACTAGCGATGCCAACGTTCAATTTACGTTGAGAAGTGAGCTCGATGTGAAGCCCACTCTCCGCAGCAGCACGTCAAATTTATGTGCATTTAAACTAAACCCTGAAAGGCCAGGGCTGTCGTCTGGGGCTAATTTTGAAATCAACAATCACGCAGATCTCACGGTGTGCCGGAATCACAGCTAACGAAGCCTTGTAGCCTCACCCAGTCTGCCACTTAAACCGCTCGCCTCTGTTCAGCAGTATCTATCTGCAATCTTAACTTTAAAGCGGAAGAATTTGAGTTGGTCCTAGAATTCCCGGGACATTCTCGTTTGAGTGACGGCGCGGAAAGGGTCTTTGCTTCAAGATCGATCGATCGACAGGTAGAGTATTGAAAGCCAAGCAGATTCCCGACTTCGTCTCCTTCCGATGGCATTAGCTGTAGCCTGAAACATCTACCAGCCGCCTCAACCGGGGAAGGCGACTGTGCAGTGTATCCTCGCTACTTTGCGATGCAAACCTTATTTGCTTCTGCAGCCAAGGAATTTCAGCCGGAACGCACTCTTTTGTTTCAGTGCTAGTCACGCTACAACATTAGCAAAGAAGAACGCTGCAGCCATCAACTGGGATTCGGTTCCCCAGGGGAGGCGTTTGAACATCACCCACACCATCAATTTTCGACATTATGAACCTGTGAGACCATATTTATCGCGATTACCTAAGTCAGCATGACGATGGAATGTGAAAATGAGCAACAAACTCACCATTTTACATGATACTTACCACCAACAGAGTACTGACCGTTTTCCGATAACACAATAATTTCACAGCTTTTGCAAAGGAAAGATGAGACATGGGTCACTCCATGGCCAATATACACAGCAGTGTCTTTCAATTAGGCTGTACTTCGCCTAATTTGGCGTCCTACAAGCTATTACAGTTGTCAGCGAGAAATTTTTTTCATCCATTGTCAGGCTGTGAGTATATAGGACATGCAGGTCCTCTATACCTACAGGCCAGGGATACCTTTCTACTAGTAAATCCCCTCCTGTGCCTTCTACATAGCTCCCATCAAATAATACTACCCCTCACAAGTACTCCCTCAATAATACACTTGGATGGGCCATTTGACCCCATGTTTCCCCTCTTTAGCAGTTCAAACGATGGCCATTTGTAGGTATACGGCCGCCGGGAAAAATCGCAGAAGCCATTGGGGTGGGGCTCTCCTAATACCGAAACCAGGACTAAATCAGAAGATATAGCTACACTTCTGAAGCGTTCGAAGAGACCGGCCAGCTGGACGCTAAAGATTGATGGGCACCTCAGGAGATTCACTCGCTGCCTTCCTAGCCTCTCCCAACTTTTTCCCAAAGGTCGTGCTGAAATGCCGGAACAGTCTTGACACAGCTTGATTGCCGTTTGGTTTCTTAACCCAAGTAATTTTATACCATCCAGGGCCCTGGGGAGGGCCATCGACTCATCAAAAATAGAAGTCCTCCAGGCTAATTTGCCGTAACATTGGTCTAGGCGCCCACAAACGCTCCAAAGGCGAAAATATCTATACAATACAAAACCTATCATTTCCACAAGGGATCTCTTCCTACTCTCTTTCCATGCCCCAGTCAACTGTTCTTCTTCAAGATGTATAATTCCATTTGAGTCAGATTCTCGCATTAATCATGACCCGAGCTTTGTGTTCTATGACTTAGTTTCTTCCTCGCGGGTATACATAGAGATATAAACATGTAGTGTGATATGGCCGATATTTGATGAAGCAAAACCCCGGATGCAATTGGCCCAACACTTTTACTAGTAGTCGAGGCGAGGCGGTGTAGCAATACTGTGGTAGCGGACTCGCATAATAATAAAAGAATCGACGCTGACGGGAAGTCGACAATTTAAGATGTGCATGGGATTGCTTTAAACTTCGATTCTTCTTGCCTGTCCCAGATATGCAGAGAATACTGAATGATCATAACGGCACCACTGGAATTTGAAGAATTCGTCTTTGCTGGCTGCGTTTCGTTAAAGTTCCGATCTTTTAGGTTGGATGAGACATGCTCGTACTTCACAGTAGTTAATTTCATCTGGCCGGGCCCTACTCGTCCTTAAGCTTTAGTATTTGTGTGTGTTGTCCATTGTACTACTTGAGTCTATGACTATCTAGCACATCGGGCTGATATCTGACCCGAATAAACCTTGTACAATGCTCTTATCTTTTGTTACTTCAAAAATTATTGATATATTGCCAGTGAAGAATAGCCATTCAGCTCAGTATTTACCCGTGGAGTTCGGCCACCTTTTCCACGGAAACTGCAACATAAAAAGGTAAAATGGAAACTGCGTGCAAGGGAAAAAGTCGCGAAAAAGTCTCACAAAACCTGCAGACCCAGCCAGGCAAAGCCTAGACACCGGAACCATATGGGGCGCACATATTCATCTATGTCTCCCTTCTTTCTAACAGTCGAGGCCAACTTGATTCAGTCCACCACCTCCATTCCGAGTGCTGGGAATGCTCCGGAAACTCGTCGGATGGCTTTTCTTCAATGATCAAGGGTTGGTGACGAATAGGGCTCCAACCTTACCATTTGATCTGATCGTGGTAAGCTTCATGATGATTTTGATAGTGTGAAGTGTTGAGAGATGAAGACGATACAGACCACGAAAGCCCTTGGGGATCCTCATCGAAGTGAGGACGTTGTTACTGAATTTCAGCTCTGCAGACTCTACAGTGAGAACTGTAGGCTCATGTAGGACACCACTGACAGTATTGGGAGAAAATACCCTAAACCTCCAGTAGCAATGCCATAGGTGTCATTTTACCTAGCACGTCTACGAACAAGCGACCAAACGCGCGATTCGAGAAATTCTCATTTCCCCATTTTCCCGACCCATGATAGATTCTGTGCCTGCATTCTACAATTATCATCTTTCGCGAGGTACTCAAAAAT